AGCTCAGTAACCTGCAAATAAAACATGATGTGCAGTAAAAAAAGTACGTGAGAAAGAAGAGTAGAAATCATAGAAATTAATACTAGCGACGGGGTAACAAGGCTCTAGTCTACAATGAGTTAGGAATATTATGTGAAACATCAATGAGATCGACCTCAATTGAATCATGTATAGAAACAAATTACACTCAAGTGAACGACATGGCTTTACATTTGGTTTAATTCTATCAAACTACATAATTGCATTACCATAGTGCTTTCCGAATTCTGATTGTTGTGTGGAGATCCGAAACTACGATGTGTAAGGAGATGAGTAAAAATGTACTGCTGATTGGAATAAGGTGCCTAGAATAGAAAGCAGGAATTTATAACTCAGCGAATGGAGAAAAAACTTCAGCTTGAGTTTATGAAGCTAAGCTATGATAAAGACAGTAATTGAAACGATTGTGTTGCACTTTTAAAGAAGTTCTTAAGGGCAAGCATGCATTTTCAAATGATGGGATGGAATGAATTAATTTTTCGAGCTTTACTTATGATTCTAACTTAACTAAAGTATCTAGCATAAAGAGTGTTCTGTATATGAGCATTATATCTCATTTTTGCTAAGAAGTTTTTAGAGGTCGTCTTTACATCCAGACTGAGCTCTGTGGTTCGAATCTAGAAGATTATCGTAGTAAATTTGGGATTCTCACTGAACCCGAACTGTGGAAGGTTTTACATGATATGGTACAGGTAAGTATTATCTATCTACATTTCAGTCGAAAGGGAGATGTAGTTTACAGGCGCTTTGTCATATGCATTTGATTGGTATGCTTCATATGGATGTCAAGCCGTCTAACATATTCATCTCCGGTGATTCCACTTGCAAACTGGGAGATTTTGGACTTGCTTTTGACATGAACAAGGTTTTATTTAAGATTTGCTGCTGTTTCCGAAATTTGAGGTCTGTACAGTACAAATCAACTTTTGCCGTACACATCGCCCTTCCTTAAACTAATTCTAGAACTTCTCTTTTAGTGTGTTGGGGTGGGGGGGAAGGGAGGAAGATCGAAGTGTAGGGTGGGGAGGAGGAGGGGAGGAGGAAGGAGGGGGGAACGACAGGTCTTGTGAAGATGGACCATAGGGGAAGTATTTGTTCGCAAATCCAGGAATATAAAACTCTCTTTTTAAGCTGTTCGAGCCCAGTAAGGAAGGAAGGAATCGATTTATATTACCAGTGTGCTGAAAGGTTGCATAGAAAGTGTTGATAAAAGGAAAACAAAATAAGTGGAAACGAATGTGTTCGCTAATTGGAGACTTCATTTCCTGTAGGTCTACGCTAAGAAATCACACAATATTTTCGTTTAAGTGCTGAGAGATTTTATACATAATTTCTTAGTTTGCGAACCCTAAATGTAGACGCTGCTATAAACTTAGGAAAACGGTTGAACATGGTTTCATGGAAATGTGGTCTAAATTTCCCGAGCAAATGCGCACTGCAACTTGGATGGTCACGTGTCTGTAGTCCTTGGAGAGAATCAGAAACTACGATCTCTCGGAATCTCGAGTCCCATAGAATTTATTTTTCGCTTATCTTCTCCTCACCACCTTCCTCGCTTCCTTCGGAGATCTGTGCCGAGCAGTGGGAGGGGGAAAGGAGGTGATATGACGAGATGAAGTTTTGGCCTCTTTCGTGGAAGACGTTTTTTACTGACGATTTATATAATTTACAACACATTGCTTATTTAATCTACTAAAATGAGATGTGTTCGGAGTTAGCTGTCTGAAAACTATCTACCATTTGAAGATCTTATTCATGAACTGCACCCCACAGACTTCGCGAGACACCGCCGAGGAGGGCGACAAATACTACATGGCTCCAGAGATCCTGAACGATTCGCCCACGCCTGCAGCTGATGTCTACAGCCTTGGTGTCTCTATGTTAGAGGTCACAATAATCCGTTTCTTGTTCTATGTTTCGTTCAAAATCCAATTTCAGCTCGCCACAGATGTAGATCTCCATGAAGAAAGTCATAGAATTCGGAACGGGGAGTTGAAGGATGCTTTGTTTGGAGGTGATAGCTTATCTGGGAGCACTCGGTTTTAAGCTGTGAATTGGGATTATTTAGACATCTCTAACGAGCTACGGCAGATGATCACTTCTTTGCTTTGCCCTGATCCGTCGAGCCGGCCTAGTACCAGTCAGTTATCGAATGATCCATTCATTCTGAAAAATACGAAGAAAGCAGTTGTTTTTCGTTGTTTGCAGGTGAGTGAGTGAAACTTACCGAACAGTTGTCATTTATCGCTTGTAGAGCATTAGACTTTCATCAAAGCAAGTTTACCTGTTAAATTATAAAAAAAAATTAAGTCTTTAAAAATGACTGGTTTTGGAGTTATTTTAATTTTAGTCTACTTAATCTCTCAAACGTCTCTAGGCTACGAGTGTTAAGGAAATGGGCTCCGTAACAGCTTATTGTTTAACGCAGATAGAATTAGCAACGTGTTAATGCATAGAAGCATCTAGAGATCTAACTAAGTAAGCCTAATTTTAGTATAAGAAAAAAATGTGCTGTTTGTTACACTTCAGCTCTTCTGTGTTTTATTTTCAAAAGTTGATCTCAATAAATATATTTCGGAAGTCACCTTTTTATAAATTACCTTTTCAGAGTGATGTGAAATCACCATGTGGTCCGCTCGACAGAGATTGGGATTTTGAGTATGAAGGTAAGTCTTGCTTGCCTTTTGTCCTTGTAGCAAGTAGCCTAATTCTACTTCTCACATATTGTCATTTATCAGGGAAAAACTGTAATCTTTATTTAGACGAGATACATCCACCTTCAATTCGCTTTTCCAAGCCACGCAAACTTCTGAGGAATCTGCTTAGAGATGATGTCTCTGACACAGCAGATGATGTGAGGTGAGGCTCTCTGGCTTTAACAGATATCTGCATCAAGCGATTTACCCAGTGCATGGAAAAATTTTTTGCCGATTTCTGTTTCGCAGCTACTATTGCCTGCCTTAGTGTACGAAATATAAGGAAGGTGGTCGTGACAAATGTTTGAGAAAAATATTTGAAATGCTCGCGTTGACATATCATGCACATGACAGCTGAGCAAACTGAGGTGGTGATTTAAAAAGAGAAGCGTCGCAGCGCTCAATCTACGCAGCCGATTTTACCAGTATTCTGAATTTTTGTAAACGTGATTCAACTTATTAACTTTGGATTGTTGCTTCGAAGATACAGTGAGCGTTGCAAAACCTAATTAAAGCCAATTAAGGCTATCAAAAATGAACCCCGTGATCTTGCCTTACAATTCCTTTTGGACATTAGATTGAATTTCGCTGATTTTTCTTTGCAGGTTGAGCCTAAGTTTTGAGAATGCAAGCGACGATGATTCACCAAGTTGTCAGCCAGACAAGTTAAGGTGAGCAAATGATATTGTCATTTCTTTCCTAATGTCCGTGTTGTGGGATGTATCTCTTTTTTCTCATCTATATTTCCTCCTCAGGCCACCTCCACCTCAAAGAACGCCTGCTATAAGACGAGAGAAAGTCCACCTTACTGTCAAAAAGCTGGATTTCTCCGATTCTTCCGATGTATCGCCTGGTCCACTTCCAAAAAGACTTCGCGAAGAGTTTACCTGAATTTGTTAGCCGCTTTCCTGTTTTTACACCGTCATGACTTTTTTACTGTGATGATTCAAATTACTTCCGTCTTACTTTTAATGGCATATACAAAGAAATGTATACAATGTAGCCACTTGCCTGTGATTTTCATCGCTTATGTCATATCTTTTTGTATAAAGCATACTAAAAGCATTTTAAAAAGCGGTCATATATGACGTTATGAAGCTATTCAGCAATGAGAATATGGGTTTCTTTATCGTGAATGCTGTTACAACCTACCTGAATTGGTTCCGAGAATGTCATTTTTGTGAATGTTTCTAGATGGTCGAGCATTGCTCTGGAGTCAGGGAGGTATTCCAACCTGTTCTCTAAACTATTCTCAATTTTTAATATTGCGTTACCTACCGAAGTTTCCGAAATGACATCTTTTGAGACTTCTATAGAATAAATTTCTAGAAATGTTTTTCTACCTCGTCGCAAAGAGGAAAGCAGTGGGTCTACTGTCACCTAACATGCATATACGAGAGGTTTTCCTTGTGCAACCAAATCTGCAGTGGTCACTCTTCCTCATCATGTTCGCTAATGCAGATGAGAGAATATCTCAATATATGGTTGATAAACATTTAGGCTCAGTATAAAGTTCGCATTAATCTTTTCGAAGTCAAGTATTTGATAATCCTTTCTGCCTTATATGACCGTTTCTTCTCTGTACTTAATAGCCTCATCAAAGTGAAACTTCTTTAAGTGACGAAGTTAATTGGATTCTTGCATATATAATTTGTGTAAATCATTATCTCTTGAGAACACAGAAACCTTTTAGAATAAAAAGAAGGATCAAATTGTACTGTTCCACCAAAGCAGCTAGAAGTTGGGTATGAAAGGACGTAGCTTATGGTAGCTGATTCTGTGCTGGTCGGCTACGCCTTTTTTTCTTCAAATTTGAAAAGGCTTAATTTCTCCTGATTTCAGATGACTTCGAAACTATTAAAATTGATTTTAGATGATTCAGAAATCAATGAAAAGAGGTGACAAATGTTTATAAATGAACACTTCCGACAGCTCCTTCTAGCATAATTTGCCTGTCGGATTTATGGAATGCTGTTTATATTATCCAATTGCAGGTGGTCCTACATAGATTACAGTAGGTAGATGTTGAATGAGCCAAATCTGCTGGTAACATATGCGACGTCATTCCACCTTTAATAGAGTTTGCTATAAGTTACTATAAGGAAACAATAAGATAGATCAAATAAATTAGCATTCTCAGAAGGGAAATTCATGAACTCTTCTATCATCGTAAAACGATGATTCCTTGCTTTATCGTATCTGACGGGTGGCGGACTTTATAAACGATAGCTACTACGAGCCGACAATATGGGGCGCGCTCGGTGCGTAGCTCGGCTCACAAACTAAGCTAATTCTGGCTCTTTTCCCACTAGAAGTACTTTCTATAAGCTTATAAAAGCTAAGAGGTAAATTGTAAAGGCCAAAGCAACAGATATTTGAGCAAAGTAACTTAATTAAGATATTCTATAGATTTTTTAAAGCTAACATATAACGATTCCCCTTAGTTCAATAATTTTGTAGTAAGATGTTCTGTAAATATCCTGCAATAATGTATATTTGTTTCAAAGAATTTTCTCAATGTACGGTTTTGAACTAAATTAATATTTACAGTTGGATATATATTCAAAAGTTTCCATCGTTGTTCGGTAGAGGATTATCATCAGAGTATACTTGATTTTAGTGATAAACGACGTAATAGGTTGAAACCACGGTAAACCTTGGAAAAATTAGGCGCACTGACGCCCACCACGGCTGTCAGCTGGAGCTATCGTCCATAAAGTCATACACCCTATCTGACCTCTTGTGAGGGGGCGGGCTTTACCTACCTTATGCATATTGGAGGGGGGGGGGGGG